TTTTATAATTAATTAGGGATGAGGTGGGATTGTGGGAATTTTCCACAAATGAGGATAAAGTTTTTTTTTTTGCTGTTTAACATACATAACAGACTTGTTTGTTTGTTTATATTCGTCTTCCTTTTTCAATTCTATTTGTTCTTCCACGCTTGTCCGGTCTTGGTTTTGTCTTTGAGTCTGAATAAAGGCTTTCCTTTTTCAAAATCGCTCTCCATTTATTACTTACCCTTTAATAAATTTGGTTTTCGATATACTGGGAGAAGAGGGGGGGGGGGAAATGTCAAGTCCCCCAGATGGCGCGTCTCGTCAGAGATTTCTCTCGTCAGATGGACGTGCCTTCCCCCCTCCTTCATTATTCAAATGGCGTTTGTGAGGGTCGCGCGCCCCGCCGCCGGAGCCATAATAATATCATAACAATCTATAAGAAAAGCCAGACTAACCTATTATGAACAAAAACAAAACAAATAAAGACAAATAAAATTTTCTTGCTTGTTGTTTCGGACTATTGACTATTTTTTATATTGGTTTTTTCGTTAAAATTATTTCTTCAAACGGTTCAGAAATGTGAATTTGTCTCTACGTTTCATTTTTCTCCAAACACTAGTAACAACACAATCCTCAGCGGGGGTTATATTTTGCTTCACGGGTCCATTATTAGGGGAGTGGCAGTCACCAAGTGACGAATTTAAGGTAAGTATCATAGTTTAGTCAGCGAGTAAGGTCTGGAGGGGGGGGGGAGGTGGGGGGGGGGGGGTAATTCAAAATTTTTAATTCAGTTCCACATTGGCAGTCTGCTCAAACCAATACAATGACACAACTCCCGTTTACCAGACACCATTTGACTTTTTCTTATATTAACTTTGTCTGTTTTCGTTCCATCCTGGCTTTTTTTCATTCTACTCATCGAATTGTCAATTTTTTTAATTTAAGTCATTTTGTTTTATTTTCACTTATGAGGAAATGATAATTTCTACAACATATTATTCTGCTAATGGATATATTTATTTAAATTAAGCATTTGCTATGTTCTTCTTTTGCATTTCGGTTTGGGGTGGGGGGTTTTTCTTCGTTATATAACCAAAATCAAAATACCCATTCAATCATCCATGCGTTGCCCAAGGTCCCAAAATCTGTCGTCTCTTTAGAGGAGTAACCACAGCTGTATCTTTCTTGGTCTTCTCTAATGCGTAGCGGCCTTTATACTTGAAACCTAAACCGCTGCTATGTCTTTCTCTGAGAGACTGTGCGTTATGAAGTGCGACAAAACATAGCAGCTTGGTCAAACACGAAATATGACTAATGTCTATCCACTTCCTGAGCGTTAGCCTTAAACATATGGGGGGACAACTCTCTTCTTCCCTTTTTTTGGCAAACCGTGACCCCTAATCTAATAAACTTCAAAAGCTCCAGGGCGCTGGGAGAGGGTGGAACTCCACCAAAGGGGTTTTTTTAATATTTAGTGTCCTGATAGAATTACATTTTTTAATAAATATTAACAACTAAGACACAATAAAAGATTTTTATTATTTACAAATTTGTAAATATCATATATTGCAACTTTTCCTTGATATACCTGTTTTCCGTTTGTGCCAATAATAAACACCCAGGTGCAAATAATTTATTCACTGCCTATCCATAAAGCGCTCAAGTAAAGAACAAAGCATCAGTATCCAGCAACATGTCTAAAAAGGAGAACAAGGCAATGTTGTTGGATCCATCAAGATGATACTAATAATTCTCCTTATTTATTATTTTTGTTTACTTTTACGATGTTTTGAGATGGCATGCAAGTTAGCCTATTTGGAGATTTTTTTTTTTTTATATACTTTTTTTGTCTAATGAATAGTCATTATGTCTTGATCTTAACATAAGTCTAGGGGCGCGGACTTTTCTATATACTTCTTTCTGTGGTGGGTGGTGCTTGCCGCACTGGCGGAGCTCTCACGATTCTCGAGGGGAAAGATCCCAATATCTTTTTTTTCCTTTTTGGAGAGGTGTGGGTTGCCATAGAGGTGGGTAAAGTTTGTTTTCCTTTTCAGACAGAGAAAAACCGATGAGAAAATTCCTCGGGGGGTCGAGAGGCTATTTTGGAACTTGCTATTAATATTACCAACCCCATGTTCTTGTGCCTGCTGCCATTTTCTTCTTTCACAACCATGCAGCTCTCTTTACTGTCTCTTTGCCTGATGCCATGTTGGGGATTAATGGTTTAAAGAATGAAACTGTTTTTTTTTTTAATTGGGCACCCAACACTGCTGTATTTGTGGGGGGGGGGGCCCGCGTTTTTGCTATTCCTAATGGGAGTCATTTTTTGTATTTAAGCGGAGAATAAAGTTACCACAACGACGACTCATTTTTTTGTTTATTATATAATACTTGTTTAATTTCCACACCTTACCCTATTTTCTTTGCAAGTCCCTTTTTTTCCTAACAACTGCCAAGCTCTGGTGCACCAGCAACACCGAGGGGTATGGGAGAAGGATTGTTATGGAATGGGTATATATGCGATTGCGTGAGCCATACAGCATAGTCAAAAGGTAATATTATATCATGAATGGATAAGATACAGATTAGATAGAGCAAGGATAGAACGGGTTAGGCGCAGTCCATACTTCTTCTCTTACTAAGTTTGCCCTCTCTTATCTTTGCCCCTAGGAGGATCTTTTTTATACTCTGCCTCCAGTATTCAGCCCTTTGTTTTTTTTTTTTCTACCATGTCTGTGTCCTGGGTTAAATTGAAATGCCAACCTTAACATCGGCTTTTAGTTCTCTCTTTTTTACCATGTTCTCAATTTATTTATTTCTCTTGTTATTTGTTTGTTGTTGCATTTATTGCATTTTTCGTTATTTTTGATCAGTCCTGCGGTATTTTTTCAAATGCAAAGTTGTTCATATGCCAGTTGCTCGTGATTTATAGTTAGATTTCTGGTTTTTTTCACATTCTACTATTCTAGTAGTCTGCTAAGAAAATCCTAGCTTATTCTTTCTTCTCAAAGTAGTTCTCTCTTGATATCAGTCGCTTTTATATATAGTTTTCACATACAAGGAGGTGCGGAAATACCAGTTAGAGAGTACAAAGAGTCTACGTGTTGGTGGGTCCTAAATATTTCTAGTTTTATTATTAATGATCGTAAATGAGAAAACCAGTTCCCCTAATGGCCTTCTTATTGGTTTCTAAGGAGGTGGATGACATGTAGTCACTACTACTTGGCGACCAGACCTCTCACATCTTCTTCTTTAAATATGCACCATGAGTAGGGTGGAGTGCTTACCAATATCTTTGATTTAATCATTCTAAAAATCAGCCAGGTACAACAATGTCTTCCTGAACACACTCAAAATCAACATTGCGTAAGACTATTACCTTTTGTCCAATTGAATCTCATCAATGATGAAACTCCTGCCTGCAGGTATCCCCTTCCCCAAGCTGTGTGAATCTCTACTGAGCTGTGGCCAACCCATGAATGCTATTCCGCTCCACTCCAATACAGACTTAGTGTTAAAGCTCAACTGCGGCAGCTCTCCAATCACTGCCTACCTCGACATTAAAAACCCCGAGGGTCCGCTGGTTATCCGCTCTGCCTACCAATGGCTTGTCAGGCTCCACAAGAAGATTTTGAAACAAAATGCAAAGGCTCATGTATGCTGCTGCCTGCTCTCCTAATATGCATTCATATAAATATTTTGTACCCTGCCTTCGCTGCCCAAATCCTGTTGTTGCAGATCAAATAGTGGTTTTGCTGGGTTTAAAAGTTTCATCATCTTAGCATTATCCTGTTTCATCCAATGCGCTTTGCAGGAGGACTGGAGCCTCCCCTGATAGTTAATAATTATTTCACTCTTGTTGCGTGAAGAGTGGTTCATGGGGACTTTGGCATTTGCGGCTGTGCCTTAGGGCGCAAAAAAAGTTAGGATAGTTGTCACTAGATACGTTGGTGGTGGGGTATTCTCCCTAGTGGTCCGAAGGGTGCTCATGGGGAGAAACACTACAACCAAAACATGCACTAAAAGAGCCCCAGTGCCCACTTGCATGCAATAGGAGCGAGGCTCCACCACAGTGCCTAGCCGCCCACCTGAGGACACCCAGGCCACACCAGAAAAATTCAAGGAAAAAGAAACACTCTGGAAACAAAGAAAATCAAAAGTTAGTTGAGGAGACAACTTTAGA